TTTCTCTATGCCTTTCCAGTTGAAAAATTGGTAGAGCTACGTTTACCAAAAAGACTTGAAAAACTGTATTTGTGTAATGTTACCTAATGCTGGTTAAGGTAGCTCTTAGTCCTGGTTAAAACAGAAAGGCGTATTTATCTAGAATTGAGGAAGAACACTTTATACCACAATGTAGTGGAGCCAAGTTGGACTGTAACTGTTTCAGTATGGGAAGCTGGAATTATTTGGCTTCTTGTTTTACTTTGGTCTTCCATTCTTGCAACTTTTTTCTGATGAGTATCTTTAGTGGACACCTCTGTTCTTTTCCTTTTTTCCTTTTTTGTTTTTTTTTTTTAAATTTTTTTTTCTTGTTGATGTTATTATTTCAGTTCTTTATTCTTGCTTATTTTTACTTTTTAAATAATGTTGAGGGGATAAAAAGTTTTTCTTTTTCTGCATGGATCTCTCATGCTTCTGATTTTAGTTCTCTGCTGGGTGATGTTTTAAAGACTGGACTCCTCAGGAGGCAATGGGTTTTTCATCAGACCCAGGCAATCTCAATTCGCCTGAATGCTAAAGGTGTAGGATCAGTCTTTGTTTACTTAATTAAGTTGCTGTTTATGTAGCTCAGAAGTGAGTTGTGACAGTCATGCTGTCAGACTCTTCCAGCTTCACAGCTTTGAAATAGGTTTCACTTTAGTCCTCTCCAGGAGACCTCATAGTCCAAAGCCATTCCTGCTGAGAGTTCACCCCAGTTCTACATGGACAGAAGCTAGATCCATGAACTTAGTCTCTGTCACCAAAGAGCTGCAAAAATGAGATGTCCTTACACTGTGTAAGGACAGTAAGGAAAAGGATGATGTAATTTTCTACAACTTCATTGTGTTCCTTCAGTCAGTATTTGTCTCTTTATGCAGATCTAATTCAGCTGTCTGTACCTACAACCCACATATGCTGCTGCACCTCCCTGTATTGGACTGGTGCCCTTTAGCACACGAAAGGACATGGTTATTCTCTAGGGTAACAATCGGCCTCTGTAGTGTTCATGTTTGCACTGTTTAACCTAATGATGTTTATCTGAATTGTTGATCTGTCATAGCAGTTTGCCCTATTTGTGCTATGATATCTTGTAGGTGTTGTATCTGCTCTTGCTACCTACTCCCTCTGCCCTGCACAGCTGGTTATAAATTCCCCACAGTGTTTCTGAATGCTCAGACAAGAAATCTGTGTCAGAAATCCCTTGCCAGAGATCAAACTTAGAACACACAACTGCAGAAAAGAGCCCTGTCATGGTCCATGTTCTCAAATATTAAAGACCATCTGTATGGATCATCAGATTATTCCATATACTGTGTTGCATCGTCAACATGCATGATAAAAAGATCAAAATATTATTCCATCTATTTTAGAACTAGTAACAAAGTGTTAGTTTAAAGAAAAAAAAATCTCTTCTAGCTGCTTGTCTTAAGGCATGAGATTCACTGTTTCCACCTGGCAAAGCTCCTGCTTTTACTACGTGGTGTGTATTGAAACTTGACAGAGCAGAAATGGGTAATGGAATCTGAGAATGTGGAGGCTGGGAAGGAGTTAGGTTCCTAATACAGAGAAAGGGAGAAAGGCTCCAGGTAGCTGTCTGCTCTGTTAGCTTACTAGGGTGCTACTTTATTGCAGATTGTAGCCAGATTTCATGGCACCGGAAGTGCTCGATGTCATCAAAGTGCAAATATCTTTGCAGAGTAACCAATTGTGAGCACCATGAGAGATGAGTGCAATTCTGCACTCAAGTTTTCTTCCACTGTCAAAGCATTCTCCTCCAGTTTTCTGTCTTGCATCTCCTCTGACTGGTTGCAGCCAGGACTGCAGAGGATTAATGAGGGACCTGAGTCCTTGTAGACATAGGAGACAAATCAGGTGAAGCTGATGAGACTGAATGGAGCCTGCATAAAGGACCTCTTCTGCATAAAGGGCTGGCTCAAGTCATTGCACCTTAGTGTCCTATGATCATTTTGATTTATTTTGTGATAAAGTTTGCACAAGAAGCTTGCTAGTTCTTTAATTTCTGGTGCTGCAGTGCTGTGGCTCCCTTCTTTCAGTTTTGTTGGTGCAGCTGTTTGTGGGATTATACTTAAATTGCATCTGTTATATGACCTGAATTAAAGATGTTAAAAAGTTTATTTCATTCTATTTCACGATTATGTTCTAAGGGGCAGCCCTACAGATAGTTGTGTCAGTACCTGAGGGAGAAATTAATGAGGGGGAGGTGAAGGGGAGAACCTCCTAAACTGGTTTTGCCACTAGAGAAAAATGTGTGTCAGACTTCCATAGGCTTGCAGAGGTGGGGCAAGGTAGAAGCTGTTAACAGCTTCTCTCAGTTACATCATCTTGTCTCATTGGCTTTAAGCTGCCAGCTTGTAGCTTTGCCGTGGGAGCAAACTTTATTCCACTGTGACCATCAATACATACCGAGCTTCTTTCATTAGGAATCTGATTGAGTGTATCAGAAATTCACTGAAATGAAACTGTTGCTACTGTGTATCTCTCAGCACTTAAGTATTCAATATCTGGAGAGCTGTAGTGTTGGAGATACAGCTCACAAATATACTGTATAAAAAAAAAAAAAAGGTGTAATGATCCAAGTCTTCCAAGTCTGCAGGCAGCTTGCAGAATGATTAAGATGTTTTCGGTCACTTTTATATCTAAGTTTCTCCAAAGACTTAATGCTGACTTTCAATAAATTGCTGATTGTTTTAGTGAGTGTGAGAGAGATGAGTGAAGCAAAAGACAGAAGACTGTAATCCTATAGATTCTTCTTTCTGTGTGCAGCTCTCTACGCCAGTGCACTGAGAAAAAATAATAGATTTTTTTTTTTCTAATTTACCCTCCATTAATGCCTCTTTGCTGATAATAAAAATTTTTTTACACATGGGGAAAGATAGTCTTACAAATTTACAGGTTAAGATAGTCCTCAAGATACACTTTAACCATATGAATTTCAGGAATGGAATTTCTAGTTCCTCAAATAAGTTTGCACAAATTGTTTCTGAGGCACTTCTAGCATCATAGCTTCCTTTATCCGTTGTGTTGTCAGTTAGCTGGTAATGGAGAATAGCACTGTTCAGGGAACAGCCAAAAGAACAGGGTTTCCATTCTGTTTGAAGGATATGGTGTTAAGTTTGTGTCTGATGATCTTGTTTTGCTTAAGATTATTAGGTTTGTATGCTTTGAGTTGTCCCTAATCTGGAAATACATAAAGGTTGTAATATGGTGATTCCTAGGTATAGGATCCTGTATAGTGGTGTTTCTGTACTTGTAATTTGGAGCATTTTAAGTGGAATTTATGTCAAATCTGGTAATTTCTGTCATCTCTAATTTGGAATTGGTTCACATGCTGTAGGACACTTATATATAAACATGATATTAGGAACTTGAAAGGAGTCAGTGATGGAAGAAAAACTGTTCTGTTGTGATCCTGGTGTATGTTGAAAGAATATTACATCATAGATGACTTTGACCCAGGACTAGAAGGGATGCTGAGCAAGGTAGCAGATGATACAAAAGTGGTAGGGGCTGTTGAATCCCTTGAAGGCAGGGAGTCCCTATGGAGAGACCTTCATAAATTAGACAGCTGGGCAATCACCAACAGTATGAAGTTTAAGAAGGGCAAATGCCAGACTCTGCACGTGGGATGGGGCAGCTGTGGATGTACAGACAGACTGGGGAATGAGAGGCTGGAGAGCAGCCCTTTGGGGTCCTGGGGGTGCTGATCCCTGGCGAGTTGACATGAGCCAGCTGAGCCAGCAGTGCCCTGGCAGCCAGGAGGGCCAGCCCTGTCCTGGGGGTCATCAGGCACAGCATGGTCAGCCAGGCAAGGGAGGGAATTGTCCCGCTCTGCTCTGAGCTGGGGCAGCCTTACCTCGAGTGCTGGGGGCGGTTCTGGGTGCCACAATATAAAAAGGGCATTAAACTGTTAGAGTGTCCAAAGGAGGGCCATGAGGATGGTGAAGGACATTGAGGGGAAGCCTTGTGAGGAGCAGCTGAGGTCTCTTGGGTTATTCACCTTGGAGGAGACTAAGGGAAGACATCATTGGAGTCTACGACGTCCTCGTGTGGGGATGAGGAGGGTCAGGCACTGATTTCTTATCTGTGGTGACCAATGCCAGGGCCTAAGAGAATGGTCTGAGGTTCTGTCAGGGGAGGTTTAGGTTAGATATTAGATAAATGTTCATCCCCCGGAGGGTGGTTGCACACTTAATAGGTTCCCTATGGAAGTGGTCACAGCACCAAGAGTGCTGACAGAGGTCCAGAAGCATTTGGACAATACTCTTCGGCATTCTTGGGATGGGGCTGTGCAGGAGGATTAAGAGTTGGGCTTTGATGAACTTTGTGGGTCCCTTGCAGTTCAGCTTATTCTGTCATTCTGTGATCAAACTGCTTATTTCCAAGTGTGGTTTTGCTACAGTTGTGAACTTCTGACCTCCTCTTTCTGAGACAGAAAGTGAGGTTGGTTTTCATGTCTCAGGATAAGTGGGAGTCAGCAGAGACTTTGTAGACAACCATAGTTATGTGCACTTGTGCTGATCGTATCTACAGCACTTCTTCTGTGATTGACCATCTTCTGGTCTCTCCTGTATTGACCATCATCTGGTCAATACAGAGAGACCAGGAGAAGGAAATACAGTAGGGACTGTGCCCAAGCTTTTTGGCATTTAAGTCTACCCTGTGCTATAGTTTTTGGAGGCTTGTGTCCAGAATTCCAGGGTGTGGAATCCAGGAAGAAAATCTAGGCGGTAGAACTGTGAGTAGCTTTAATGTGTGTCATAGTTTCAAGATCTGGTGGAGAAAGCTTTATTTTTCACAAACTAACATTAATATTTAAGTAAAGGTTAAGGGGAAACACACCCATTCACTTTTAAAGAATGGTTACTTCCTTAATATCAGATAAGTTTTAATGTGTGTGGTTTCTTTTTCAATGCTTCTGTGATCATTCCATTTTTTTATTTTATTTTTGCTTTTTTTCCTAGAGATGTGAATTATGCCCTCATAAGGATGGTGCTTTAAAGAGAACAGATAATGGGGGTAAGTTTTATTCTTGCTTTTTGTGAACTCTCTTATTTTGTATGAGGGAAATAAATCTGTAGAAAAAAAATTACAGGGATCCTAAACATAAATGAAAACACTGACTGCGTTCTAAAGAGATAACTATTTTACAGTAACCCTTATTTGTCCACTTTAGGTTCAGTTTACTTTGCATTTTAACATAAGATTTAATGGGTGAAATGTATGGATTTTATGTGTATTTAGTTGGAGCCTGAGTATTTATAGAAAACTGTTGAAAGTGTACCATTCATGGAGGAAAGTGGAATTTTTATGTCTGTAGCCCAGACTGAATGCATCAGTGCATTTTCATAGGTTGACTCTTTCATGCCTGATTTACTAATAGGTTCTGTAACAAAGAAGTTAGAGCTGGAAAGTTGCAGTAGTGATTACCTCTCCCTTGCATCTTTCTAATTTCACTGTTCAGGTTATCATTAGTTCTGCTGCTGCTGAGTAGAACTGCTAGTGAAGGTCTCCACTGAATGTCCTGTCTTGATTATTTTATACTAATAGCTGGGTGATATGAGTGCAGAAATTTCAATTAACTTTTCAATCACTTTTGGAATGCTGCCTTCTCTTTCTAGTAGGTATTTCTGAATTCCCATCCATCATCTATCTGTAAATAGCCTGGTCATTTTGATACTGAGCCCTTTCTCTTGTGAGAGGAGAAAGTATGATCTGTATTCTGGAATTTACTTGGACAGTCTATGTAAATTGTATTCCTCAGATTTTGTGCTGTGTACGTAATAGTCTAGCTAATTTATATCTTAGCTTTAGTGTTGATGCAGCTTTGCTATTTCTGTTGCTGTTGAGTTGCAGGAACACAGGGCCTGCTCACGTTTTTTGTGCTGATCTACCCTTTCCCTTGTGTACCTTTGACTGCTCTGTTCATATCTATATCTATATCTATATCTATATCTATATCTATATCTATATCTATATCTATATCTATATCTATATCTATATCTATATCTATATCTATATCTATATCTATATCTATATCATCTATATCTATATCTATCTATATCATCTATGCTCTAGGTTTACCATTTTAGTTTAGTGAGTCAAACACATCACTGAACTTAGTGCCCAGTACTTAAGTCTTACTCATCTTCTTGATTATTCCTCTCATATTGATACATGCAATGTTGAATTAATTTCTTTAGAAATGACAGCTGGACACTTTCTTTTTAGGAAATTGTAATAAGAAAGCCTCAGATGTCTTGAAATATACAGTAAAATTTGTGAAGTATGTAGTAGCTGAAGTGTTTTCTGGTTTTATACTGAAAGTAGTATTTGGGAATGCTTTGCTGTTGTCTGTGGTGGTCTTGAAACTTTGCATGAAGTCTTGAGAACTTTAATAGTGTGCATCAAAGATGTGAGCATCCTGTTAGTTAGCTATCTTATGGCTCTATTAATTGTAATTATAAATTATTGTCTGAAAGTGAATTACTCTGTAGAATTGAAATGCTTTGAGTTTAAATAGCAAAGGTATAACACTGTACTATAATTTTAATACCCAAGTGTTTTCATCAGTGAAAGGTTTATACTGAAAATTTCATAGCTGAGAGGCTTAAGAATTTATATTTTCTTCTGAAAATACCCAGCCTCTGTAACAGATCTTGTCCATGGTGTTGAAAACAGCAAATTCTACTTGGTGGACCAAATGTCCTTTAAATAATAGTTTTACAGAAGGGTGTGCACCTTTAGTCACAAATACTTTTGGTCAAATACTTTGACTGGTGTTGCATTTCAGAAATCTGCATTCTTACCTGAAGCTTTCCTTTCAAAGGGTTGCCTAACAAGAGATTATGCCAGAAGATTTTTAGACTTAAAGAAATACTGTTGAAGATCAGATAATGGGCCTGTCAGTTGAAAAAGGCATTTTCAGTAGGTTAATACTTAATTTTTTTTAATGTAGTTACACTTTTTGTTGCCAAGCAAATTATAAAAAGATATAGGTATTTGAGAAGAAACTTGGAAACAAACATTTCTGGTGAAACCTTGTAAGGATCTAGCTTTATAAACTTGTAATTATGCTGTCTTTCTCAAATTATAGAAATAATTAAATGGTCTTAGCTTTTCAGAACAAGAGAAGAAATTGCTGATTTTAAGTCAGTGGTATAAGGTTTTTCTTCTTTCTGCCTTCTGGCAACAAATAACTTCATTTTGTAGCCAGAAAAAAAATGAGCTTTTTGTTTTGGGTATACAGATAGTTTAGCCAGTACGTGCTCCTCTAGTGTTTTTTAACAGTCTTCTGGATATTTTCTTTATAATAAGGTGAAGGACTGTGTTTTGGGTGTTGAAGGTACCGTAATTTCTTTTATGTTTGGAATATTAATGGGGTACTGAGCTTTTACTGCCTCATTCCGTGATTTTCTTAACCTATAGTAAGATGCTGTTACTGCAGTGAGGGTCCTTGCTATACATTGTTTCCTCTTTTGTGAAGGTACTAGCTTTTAAAACTTTGCCTTTTTTCTGCCCCTGCATTCCTTTTCAGCTACGTGAAAACTTCTCTGACCTAGCTGCCCATGCTAATGGTGATAGAAGGAATGGCCAGGAGTGTTCTTTTAGCAGCAGCCTGTACATTAGCTGTCTTAAGTTAGTTGCACACCTGTAACTGAAGGCAGCCTAATCTTAGAGCTCTTTTGTAAAGGTGTTACCTTGCTTTTAAGAACTCTGGGGCACTGCATGTATTACAGTAGTTTGGGAATCAAACTTGTGTTGTTTGTATTATTAACTGACTATAGATATAATTAATTGACTATATATTATGGAAGCATATGGTGTGTTTGTGTTGGTGCTGGTATTTTGTTTTTTGTCCCTCCCTCCCACCCCCGCCTACATGGTGTGAGGTTTCTTGGTGTGCATTCTTCCTCCTGCTCCGCCTCCTTTTACTGGCCTTTTGCTGCTTATCTGACCTTTTGCTGGAGCTCACAATTTCTTTAGATTTGCTTTTCAGGTTTTATATTTTTGTTTGGAGTCTGACTCTGCTTTAGTTGTGCTTATCAGGTTCATGTGTGTACTCCAGTGTCAGAATTAAAGTTTTCAGTTATTCCCTAAATACGGCATTATTGCAGCAGTACTGTCATGGATTTTACAGAGAACTTAAAAGTGACAGCCAGAGATAGGAAGAGGAGAGGAACATACCATGGAGACCAATCAACATTTGTCCTGCTCTCTTTGTCATTGTGAACTAGGTTCTTGAGAAGGGTCTTGTGTGCCTTCTCAGAATAGTTTCCCAGCCTACTAGCATTTATGCTTTGGTACTTCTTGTTCCAGACATGGTATTTTTGTGTTTAATGGAAGACAAGTCCATCACACTATTGAAATGTTCCCTCTGTATTAGTGTCTATAACGTGTGGCAAGGCATTTTGTAGTTGATCAGTGTCCGTGGCTTTCTTTTGAACCTGTTAACTCATGGTTTAATTTGTTGCTACTTGGAATTTGCAAACTGGGGTAGCAAAGGCAAATTATTCTGCCCTCACATTTCCAGTACCTCTTCCCATAACCTTTTTGGGTACGCTAGAGAGTACACTGATGCCTGCCTGTTCTTGGCTTGGTGATGGCAGCTACTGGTGCTGTAATCAGAACCTGAAGTGAGCCCAGAGAATTCTGTCTGGATTTGTGTGGAATATGTCCTAGTCTCCTTCAGTGTCCCTCCTGTGCTTTCCATTGTCAGAGACCTGAACTGACCTTGAGCAGGAGCAGCTAAGGTCTGTTTGCACGCGCTTGTTCGGTCTCTGTGCAGTGTGAAAGTGGCCATTCTGCTCCTGCACCTGCACAGTTCTTGGAAACAATACTATTGGATTTAGCTGAGTGGAGTCTGGACTGAATCTGTGGTGTGGTTTATCTGTCAGCAGGTTTATCTGTCCTAGGATTGTTAGGAGTTGGCTGTATTTAGCTACGTATTTGATTTAATTAATTTTTAAGAGTAATAGGACATTACACAGTTATGAGCAGGGTATTTGTAAGAAATTTTAGGAATTAGCTTTGAATAAGTTTTAATATTTTGTCTGCCTAATATCTATGACTGTCTTAGGGCTATGGTTAAGATTTGTGAACAAAAATTAATCCTTCCTGCATGTGGATTTCGTTTTTACATAAACACTAGGACTTTTTCAGTGTTCAGAGACCGGAATTATAGAAATTCCGTTAGGCTATTACATGTTTTTTAAAAAAATAAATTTATTCTTATTGACACTAAAAGTAGAAAAGTAAGATTGAATCATAAAAGAAACTTTTCTCTCTGAATATATTTGTTGACAGAATTTGTAGGTAAATTTGGTATTTATGTTCATTTAGGAGAACCATTGTGGTTTTAAACTTGACTGAATGTTAAAGTTTTTTGAAATGAGGAAACCTGATACATATATGAGTTGCTTATTGATTTGCTGTCTTATGTTTAAGAAGGCTGTTGAAGGATTAATTTTCCTTTAGCTTGGTGGATTGGTAAGTGGATTAGTAGTTGTATAAAATATAAACACATTTTTTCAAAAACAGAGAAGTAACAAGTGAGCATTTGTTTGAAGGTACTTGAGGACTCTTGGTATTTGACAGTTTTGGGCTTTTCAGTTCAGTAATTTTTCCCTATTGCAGTAATTTCCTTTGGATTTTTGACACTCAGTGAGGAGGAAATAAAATCATGACCATTTGGACTGATTATAGCTTTTTGAATCCCAGTTCTTTTATCTTCTCATAATACTGAGTATACAGTCTGTTTTTTAAGCAAATTGTTCACTTGTACCTAATATAGTGCATCTCACATTTAGGTATCTTGCAGTAATCTTTTTCTACAATTTTCTGTAAGCTTAAAAGGTTTGATTTTGCTATACAAGTTGTTACTTTGAAATCTGATTCCAGTGGATGATGATCAGGAATGCTGTGTAACAGCATTCTTTGTGTGACTTTTTACCAAGACTTCTTTCATGCAGCTGCTTGGGGAAAGGCCAGCTAACAATGTGGTGGTTTTATGTCATGAT